AATTGAAATTTGAGATTCAAGAAATATCAACTTTATCTTCACTAATGTTTACAGATTGAGTTAAGTTATTAGATGAGTGGCACAAAGTAATAACAAAATTTCATTTAGATCTGGACAATTGCCGTTCTTTGGAATTCAAGCCCACTAAAGCTTTCGACGGTCAACGCCTGATAAATCACGTGGTTCGAATTGACGAGGTCAAGGATAAAATATTATGTGAGATACGTTGTTTCTTGGAGCCAAATTGTGTTAGTTATAATTTCGAAAGAAAACGAAGTGGAAACAATGGAACAAGTAAATGTGAGTTGAATAATGTTACTCACGAAGGAAACGAAGACGAACTGGTTGGGGATTTCGATTATCTTTACTATGGAGCAGAGGTAAGTCTCACTTTCTAACTTCTTAAATTAACCATTTTACAATTAAAAATTATTGCGAGTATTGAATATACTTTTCTGAGCTTCTTCAAAGGGTAATTTGTTTAACAATCGATACCTTTTCTGTCGTGACCTAAATGTTTTATTCACGGTGACATTGTGAGGAAAAATCAGATGCTACTGTAATTATTCTTAGGGATTAAAGGGTTCACTAGAATACAAACCGATGTTCAACGAGGCAGAAGCGAGGATTCGTGATAATTGGTTTTCGTTATCGTTCGACATTATTGCATTGTACTCAAGGAGCGTTTAACTTCACAGTGGGTATCAAAAGAGAATTAGCATCCACAATTTAAGAATAGCAGGTTTCCAGTAACATATAAGTTTTTATTTACACAACCTATTGGCTCAGATTATTGGGCGAATTAGGTGAATACTTTTTCGAGACATGATCCTCGAGACGACGAGACGGCATGCCTATAGACATCTTGTTATCTTTTGCTTTAGCTTTTTGTTTTGTTTTGTTTTTCTATGTCAGAGTACCTGTATAAGAAACCTTTGCAAGAACAACGCTACATGTCAAAGTGGTTTTACCGACAAAGGTTATCGCTGTTGGTGTACTGCTGGATTTAAGGGTCAGACTTGCGATGAAGGTAATGCCCCTCTCCACACTTGTATCTCCTCTTTTTGACTTAGCTATGGGTTTAAGATCAATTGAAACCCATGTTAATAGAATTCTAATCTTATGTTTGAAATCAGCATAACTCATTTTCAAATACTGCCGAATGTGCAACAGAAAAGCACAACTGCAGTGCTGATGCTGTTTGTAGCAATACCCAGGTACCGTACGACTGCACATGCAAAAATGGATATTGTGGTGATGGACAGACTTGCAAAGGCAAACTTGCTTTTTCTTTATTTATTTCCGTGAATATGTCTGTAACCTAATAAGGAAAGTTTAGAGGTATGATCGGAATTTCAGGGTTGTTTCGGGGCCTAAGTTAAAAACCGGGAAAACAAGAGTACGTCTCTCGTCATCCGACTTAAATGTTGTAACAGTTTCAGATAATTCATTCGGTCGATCACCTTTTGGATTTAACAGCCTCAATAATATTTAAAACCAGTTTGGTGCATCCTTAGATATTAACGAATGTGTTACGGAAGAGCAGAGATGCAGTGTTGATGCTGTGTGCAGTAATACCAAGGGATCGTACAATTGTTCATGCAAACCTGGATTTTTAGGGAACGGATCGTCCTGCACAGGTAATGCCTTGAAATATACTAGAGGTTTAAATATACAGCGAAACTAATTGTCACACAGCTGTAGAGCTAACGTTGTAACCCATAGCTTAGCCGAGCTTGTGAGGAGATATCTGAGTCACATAGTGTAAATAATTGTATCAAGTTAAGAATTGTTTCTTTCGGTGTAAGTGGAGACTCGTTGTTCTTAAAAAGGACACGTAACATTTGAAAAGCTTCTTTTTACCCATCTGCAAGGGTGTTAAATTTTACCAGGGAAGTAGCAGGAAATCCTGGCAATACTCTGTAGGATGATACTTCGTTTGACTAGGATCGCATCATGGCATAGGAATCTGTGTGAGCCCCTGTAAGTATAAGTCACACGGGCTGCGAAATGCCTAATCATTGAAAATTCTCTTGATCACCATGTTTAGTTTTACGAAAGTTCACGTAAACGTGGAATTCTCATTAAACAGTTTGGAAAGCTTTATCTTAATCAAATAATTTGAGTATATCAACAAAGTTGAAATGGTAAATTGGCCACTCTTACCATTATAAAAGCTGGCGTTTCGAACGTTAGCCCTTCCGACGAAGGGCTAACGCTTGAAACGGCAGCTTTTATTATCGTAACGCTGGCCAATTTACCATTTCAACTTTGTTGATATACTCAAATTATTTCGTTACCCCCACCGACGCAGCCCCAAACAGTTTCTTTAGAAACTAACAACCTTTATTCGTTGATTTCAATCAGCAAAGTTATTACTACCCCAGACTTATATGGTAACTGACGTCCTTACTAAGATTCCTGCTAAGGTACAATAAGGAAATATTCAAGAATGGAAGGATAAAATGTCGCGGGCTAAAGAGTCATGTAGATGGCTACATTTTTTTATTGTTAGTCTGTTGTTAATAAGTTTAGACAAATGCTACCGACAGCACAACACGATCAATTCATGACATGCATATTCAGATATCGACGAGTGTGCTATTGGAACACATGACTGCAACACTGATGCTGTGTGCATCAATACAAAGGGATCGTTCAACTGTACATGTAAACGTGGAAATTCTGGAGATGGAAGAACTTGCAAAGGTGAATTTGACTATATCTGCACCTGGATAAATAACGTCAGTATGGGTGTAACAAATTAATTTAGCCAAACCAACAAGGGAAGTGTTAAATAACAAAAATGTGTTTAAAATTATCAATAGACCATAGTTTTTACGAGGGATGTGATGGCCTGCTGTATGGTATACTGGACTTCGGATAAACAAGTCTGGTTATGAGTCTTGGCTGGCCTATTTTGCAATGTTCTTGAGAAAGTTAGTTACTCTGACATGGTCCTTTCTGCACTAAAGTGTGAAGGACCAACAACAATGTCGCCAAATTGCTAGAGAAGAGATAACTCTACAAAACTGAAATTCCATCATGCTGCATAAGTTTTGGGAGTCCCTTTGGATATTGGCCACTTTAAAATGAGAGAGAGGGTTTTAATAGGGTTAACCGTAAAAAGGCAAAAAGAAATTCTTGCTCTCACCTCATTGAGAACCTCTTTAATAAGGATAGGAACACTCTAAAGAAAAGAAGCAGCATGAGCCAAGACATGATTCTTTAAAGGTATAACATGAGCTTAGACAAATTGACTGATTGAGGTATGGCTTAAGTCTAAAACGGGACCGTTTTATTTAATTTTGACATCACTGAACGCTTTTAAAAATCACCAATATTTCAAAATCCAAAGACTGCATTTCGTAGCAAACTTTTAAATCGGTTCAGGTTAAGCTCATGATAAGTGGAAATAGTGTTGTTTTCGACAATATAAAAATTAATTTGGGGCTTTTCATTCCCGCACGGAAAAACCAGGCTGAACTTTGTGAAAATCGCTACATCATCATTTACGTCACGACATAATCTAATTAGGCACCCCGTGGCTATATCCCGAGTTTCAAGCACATTTTAGAAGTTAACACCGTGGTCGACCAGGAAATCAATACGGTAAGCTAGCCTTGCATAGCTAACCACGGCAGATTGGTTTTTATCTCGCTTTCGTTGCAAATTCTCATCCATTTCCCATGATGGAATTGTTTACAATAATACATTCCTTAATTAAGCTAGCAGAGGGCGTCTGTTTTTTCTTGCGTATTCGAACACCTAAAAGTGTTAAGAAAGTTCTGGGGTAAAGGCGAAACACAGGCAAAGTACGAAATGATTTAAATAGGAGAAGAATACCAAGCATGGAGTTGGAAACAGAATGAAATAGAAAGGGGAGAGAACTAGACTTGAGGATAAATGTATGATAAACAATTTGCCATTTGAAATTACTACTACAAACAAAGAATCTTAGCTGAGTCAAGAAAGTTCTTCCCAAATTAAGAGTTCAGGTTACAAAACTCACATAAATTGATTGGGCTGGAAACTGTTCTCAAATTAAAACAACTAAGTCGAGAAAAAGGTAATTCTTTTGATGTCTTTGATAATTCCGCTAATACTATTTCAGCTAATGTCGTGTCCTTAAGTCATTTCTGAACACCTAAAAACAGTCGGCAACACCGATTTTGAGGCCAAAATAGATTTAATTTTAGATCGAGCGCCAATTCTTAACACACTTTCCAGCAATCAGACAAGATCACCAGTTCCGAGCATCTCTGTTTTTTAGGCGTTGG